CTATCTTTGAGACATATCCATTTTGTTCTTCTTTTAAGGAACATAAATTAGCTTAATTTCTATCTCGAAGACCCAGACAAAAATCAGTTTGTGTCCTTATCTTTATTATCAAACAAATTTCTAGTTCAACTATTTTTCTTTTTTATGTCATGAAAAAATAATCAAGCTCTACTTTATAGATGATATTCAATAGAATCACTTGGACAATAAAACAAAAACTATTTATATTTATTAGTTCATTTTATTTATTATTTTTACTTTAATTTCATTATTTTTTGGGATTAAAGAAATTTTAAGAAAAAACTTAGAATTTTAACAAACACCAGAAATTTTAAGAAAAAACTTAGAATTTTAAGAAAAATTTCAATAGTGAAAAACATTGTAATGATGATTGTTCACTAAATGGCTTCGACTTGGGAAAGCATTGGCTTTGGAAAAACATTGTAGCTTAGACTTGGAGATATTATTCCCTAAAGCAATGGAATGATGAATTAATCCCTCCATTTAAAAAATTTAACATTAGTTTTTTAGGATATTAAAGTTTTTTACATATAACATGTGATAAATAAGTTTTTTTTCATCTCAATTGCATAGTAAAATAACTAAAATACTTTTAAAATCAAAACAAAGTAAAACTAGTCTTAAGGGGCATTTTAATATTTTAATATTAGTGCTTTTTATTACTATAATCTTATCCTAGAGGCAATTTGATATTTGATCAAATATTAAAAACAACTAAAAAAATATATGAAATGACCAAAATACTTTTAAAAATAATAAAATAAAATTGGAGTCAATGGGTTTTCTAATCTTTTCACAATATTTTTTTTGTTATTATTATTAAGTCATCTTCAAAGAAATGTGTATTCGACTAAAGGGTGGTGCATGGACTAAAGGGTGGGGCACATGCACCACCTTTACATGTCATTGAAAATATTACCGTGTTCTTTTTCTATTTAAAGCGACACATGTAAGCATTGATAGTTTAGTTTGTCATCAATGAACGTGTTTTTTCTTCTTCTTTTCCTGTTTTTATTTCTCCTCTTACAAAAATTATTTCAACTTTGGTTTTTATTCTTTTAAATTTTTATTTTTGTTCTTGATTATTTTATTAAATTTTTATTTGTCTTCAATTTCAATATTTCATCTTAATTTACTATATATTATTTTTTTCCACTATGGTTCTCATTCTTTTAATTTATATTTTTTCAAGTTTTATTAGTTTTTAATTTCATTCTACAATTCAAATTGATGGCATTATATATTTTAATTTGACCCTCCTTGTTTTGATTTTTTTACCCTTTTGTAAAATTTATTATTCTTTTCAATTTCACCCTTTACCAAATTTATTATTCTTTTCAATTTCACCTTTTACTCTTCAATTTATTTTTTATGTTAATTTTGATCCTTATTCTTTTGATTTTTTTTATTGAGTTCTTTTGCTGAAAGGATTTTTCATTTTCATCTTACTCTTCAATCAAATATAAAATTATTTTTTAATTCTTTTGTATAATTGAAATCATTTTGTATTTCAATTTGATTCTTATTCTTTTAATTTTTATTTTTCTACATCTTTTGTATAATTGAAATTATTTTTTCAATTTTATTATTTAATATTTGATTAATAGAGAATTGAACTTCATAGTTTTTTCAAATAAAGTGTTCAGATATAATGACTATGGCCACGAGTTTAAAAAGTTGACATGGTTTTTTTTAAAGGTCTTTATAATTCTCTTTATTTTTTTATCTAGTTATTTCAATCTCATGATCTGAGACATGAGTTTGATGAGAAATACTAGGTTTGCTCAACCTAGCTAGATTACTATGGTTACAAATTTATCATACTAACTCAGGTTGATCGAGACCATTTTTTATGATATTTTTTCATCTCATTTTGTTCTGTTATATTTAATGGGCTATGAGTTGAGATACATCATTTATTACCTTTTGGAAAATTATTTCTCCCAGGTTGTCTTATTTACTTTTCTTTTTTAATTTGAGCTATATATTGTTGTTTTCTATTTTTTTTTGTATAATTAAAATAAAGTCAACTTATTCGACCCGAGTTATATATTTTTCTTCTTTTTTAAAATATGTTTTCAACACCTAAATATAATTTCTTACACAAAAAAAAGGAGCCTAGCCCCACGGCAAAGCACAGGCACCATGGCTAGTCTTGTTACCAAACAACTTGTATCATGTTAAAGTATGTTGGAGGCCTGTTAAACAAAGAGACAAGCTAAACCACACAAAGTTAATAGAAATTTCTATTTAATTGAAATTTGAGTAAAGGAGCCTATTAAATTATATTGATATTGTTGATCTTTAAAGTCACACATTCATGTTTTTATGTATTTTCATGATAAAAATAAAATAGAACATTGACTAATAAAATATTTGATTGAAAATAAGCTTTAAACAGGTTTTATACGAATAACATATCAACAAAAATGATAGATTACATAAAAAACTCAATCCAAAAATCCGAGAAGGGAGTAAAGCGAAGACTTAGAATAAGTGTTCATTTTAGTGCTTAAATGTAAATTTTTATATCTTATTTGATAGCACAAAAATTAACTCACACACTTCACTTTACATGCATTAAAAAAAAATAATCAATTAAAATATAAGTTAGATCACACTTCACTTTACATGCATTAAAAAAAATCAATTAAAATATAAGTTAGACGGTTCTAAGAATTAATCTACGTTAATTGTTAAATCTAGAATTCTGCATGAACTGATCGACTGCTTGATGTTACCAAATGAACTTATGGTTTGCTTATTCATTAGTGATTAATATTTAAAAATTCTACAAAAACTAGTTGACTGATTAACTTGACCAATTTGAATTGGTTGATCATTGTAGTTGTAGATGAAACTGTAATACTTATAAATGACTTGTTTTCCTTAGAAACATATATATAACTTGTTTAATTGTAATTTTTTTTTTATCCAAACATATATGATATACAATTTATTCTAAGAGTAAAACAATATCAAAATCATCAATTCTTGATCATACTTTAGTTTATGTTATTAAGCATTTATATTTTAGCATAAAAGTATTCAATCTCACTGTCATTATTATTAAATATTTTAATATCTTATAAGTTCTATTTAGTGAAGTATAGAGATATTAGAACTTCAAATTATAATATTCATTTTATTAAGAGAATTTATTGTGAAAACAAATCATTATTTTAAACTAGTAAGAATAAGATAAAAGCTTTTAGTATTGATGAGGAAATTTGGTAAAAGGAAAAGGTATTAGATAGAAAATATCTTTACGTGAGAAAAAAGACTTGATGTCGATTTATTAAGTAAAATTATACTCTTGAGCTTGGACTAATGAATAAACACAATACTTGAGTATGGTTTGATATTTTATATATAGATGTAGATTTATCAAACTATATTAAAATGTGTTTACAAATTTTTTTTCTTATTTGATATTTTATATATAGATGTAGATTTACCAAACTATATTAAAATGTGTTTGCAAATTTTTTTTCTTAATTCTTTACTTTAATTGCTTTAATTATATTATTATTTATTGTATTTATTTGAAATAATTTGTTTTAATTATAAAAGTTAATGATATATCTGGTTCACTCTTTAGATATTAAGTTAATTTAATCCTTGAACAACAAATAAAGTATAAAAATACATTTGAAAAAAAATTATTTTGAAGGATAACGATGATATTCTATCCTATACATTTTGAATTAAATAATTATCCTGAAGTTATGTTTGGAAGAAGGGCAACTTATATTAAATTAATATTTTTAGCATATTTGGTTGAATTTTTGAAGTAGGTCAATAATTAATTAAAGAGAGTAGTAAGTATCCCTAAAATGGTTTTTTGGAAGGTAAAATTTACCCTCCAACTAATATTATTAATTTTATCTACAAATGAGTAGCAAGTTAATATTAGCTGTTTTTCACTAATTATTATTAATAATTTTTTATTTTTCAATTAAGATTTAAATTAAAAATATCAAAAGGAACATTATAAAACATTGAATAAATCAAATAAGTCTCTTATCTAGTTGAGAATTAAAAAAAAATTATTTAGATGCTTTTCAATTTTATAAAAAAATAAAGAATTAAAAAACACCTGTTTTATATTTTTTTATTTTATTTTTTATGATGATTCGATGATGCATAATATTATCAACGGAAATTATTAGAAAATAAAAAAGGAACCCATATTATTAACGGAACCCACACCATGTTCCAAAAAATGTGCATGCTATTATTATGAAATGGACTTTATTGGATAGTACTAATGTGTCCTACAAATTATTATTAGACCAGAAATTTCTATTTCAAGAAAATTAAAAAAAAATAGTAGAACTGTAATTTTGGATAATTACATTAATTCCTTATTAGGTTTGTATTTAAGTTTAGAGAATATTTTTAAATACTTTATTTGATAAAAAATATATTAAATTGATATTTTTAGGTATTTTTAATATGATGATGTTAAAAATAAAAAAATCTAAAAAAATAATTTGAAGTTTTATTAATAAAAAATATCAAAAAATCATCTTAACCTAATAGCTTAAAGTATTAGATGAAATTCTAAAATATAATTTATATTATTTTCTAACATATCTTTTAAAGTAAAAAATAGCTTTTGAACTTGAAACCTAAATAAATTCACACTATTTTATATTTAATTTTTATCAAATAGATAGAGATTATAAAATTCAAACTCATCACTGTTTAGTGTTTAAGATTTTATGATCATGCTAAAAAATCATTTCAATTCAGTAATTTAAATAAAATTTTAAAATATAATTTATATTATTTTCTAATAAAAAATTACTTTTACAAAACGTAAAACGTCTTGCATTGTATTACTAAACAAACACTAAGTTTTTATTTTTTTTTTTCAATTTTTTTTTCAAATTATTAAATTGGTGTCATATATATATATATATGTTACCATGCATACAAGTCTTCACAACTTTCACGTTTCTAATAATGCAACGGTGTCTTGTTCTTGGTGGGTCACAGACAAATTAACTTCCCCATTCCCAAGTTGTATAGTTAATGAGTTCTGAGAAAGCAAAGCCAACGCGGTCAGATCATTGAGATGTCAACATTACTAAACAAAAATACTGCTAAAATGAAAATTAAGCATTTCATTTTTCTTCCTTTGCACAATCTGCTTCTATATATCCATCTCTACCCCTCACTTCACTTCTCACAAGCTCCTTGCTTATTTTCCTCTCTTCTCTCGCTCGACTCTTCACTGCAAATGTTGACAAATTTCAAGATTCCCTTCAAAATGGAGGGATGTATGAACGAGGAAGCCATAACCAAATCCACTTATGCAAGCTCAAAGAAGGGCTTAATGGTTGCCGGGTTGCAAAGCCTGTTACTAGAAGGAGATATTTCTAATGTTGTCACTAAATCTGCTTTGAAAACACATCGCCTTCAAGTCCAGGCTAGCTCCGCTGAATATTGCTACCTCAAATCATGTTACTTATGCAACAAGATATTGAGCCTTGACAAGGATGTCTACATGTACAGGTAATACTAAGTTCACTATTCCTGGAGATTAGATAGCCATGTCAGCTGGACTAGTTTCATATGAAATTGTATTCTTCCATTAAATCTCTCTTGCAAGATTTCTGAAAACTGCTGTTGAATATATGTTATTGCAGGGGTGATCAAGGCTTTTGTAGCATAAAGTGCAGAAATAGGCAGATTGTCTTGGATGAAATGAGAGAACTAGAAGCGTCTAGCAAGGAAAGATTAAAATCTTATAAGCACTGCAGTACCACTGCCGGTCGGCATGAGACACGCCGAGTCCTAGAGGAGCTCCGCCGGAGCCATAAGCCACGTCCTCATGAAAACCATTGGACAATAGCTTCCTAGTCTGCATAACTTTTTCTTTTTCCTAATTTTTCTTTTTTTTTTTCCTTGAGTTTGTACTAAACAGATAATTCAATGAGAGGGATAATGTAAAGTTCAACGAAAAAGTGACTAGTGGGATTTTTTTAAGATTATTTGTCGTATGAAACAACAGATAGAGACGATCTCAAAGCTGATCTTTTGTTCCTCTTTCAAGTAGATGAGTATTGATATTCATGTACATCACCATCATTCCTTTGTCTGTTTCAGTAAGATCAAAAAACAGGGTGCCCAAGGAATCAACAGTAACCATCTTTAATTGACAACCGTGCAGATATTTTGCTTGCATTATCTCTACACCTTTTTTTCATAATTTGTTTGTGAATAAACTTAATTAATTGTTGCTAAACTTTTCGATATGATACATATATTTTATCAATGAATATTAATTACCAAGATTCGTACTAGAAGTGTTTTTCCTAAGTTTAAGATTAATTTCTGAATTTCAGACCAAAAAGGGAGAAGTTATTAAAAACTAAAACATATAAATGTCGTGAAGTATAATTTCTTCTTTTGAAAATACTTTTTTTTTTTTTGTTGGCTAAGTACTTGTGAGAACTTTACGAGAGATGGAGAGTCAGAAATATATAAATTTATTAAATACAAAAGAATAATAACAACTTTTTATTAAAGATCCTAAAATCTAAATCATTTAAGTAACTATTTATTAAGTATATGGATGACAATAGGCTAACGGTAGACTTGTTTGAATAAGTAATCAATACAAATAGAAATATATTCACGAGAGAATTCTACTTTAAACAAAAGATTGATGTTATAGTAATAACTAGGCAACAATCCTCTATTGTGCTCCCTCGAGATAGAGCTTAGAAGAGAAGCTCATTAATATTGAATTTGAGATAAGAAAACAAGTATAAGGAAGAGGTTTGGTTAATGCATTAATATGGGAGTTAAGATGTGATTTATCAAGTGTGTTTATTATTGTAATAGCTGTTGTGGTTGTGATTTAAAAAAAAATATTTTATAAAAAATATTTTTAGTTGAAATTAGTTTGAAAAAATATATATTTGATTATAATTGTGATTGAAATTGAAGTTGAACAAAAAAATAGTTTAATGTGTTTAGTTAAAAGAATACTTTTCAAATTGAGATTATAAAATAATTATAAAATATATATATTAAAATTGATGGTTTTTAATTTAAATATTGTAGATTTAACTACTGTTATTACTTCATTGAATAAATAATATTGATATTAAATATTTTTTATTAGTCTATTAAACTATGTGTAATTTCATTACGTATGAAATCTATTAAATAAGAACTATATTTTCTATGGTTTATTAAACATGCAACAACAAAAACTGAATTTTTGTTACGTCATTAAGCAACTTTCTTCTAATTTTTTAAATAAAACACAAATAAAAAAATAAAATATAATTTTTTTCACCGTGAACAACCTAGGTGAATAGTACTGTTCACGTGAACATGCCCAGGTGAATAGCACTATTCACTTTAAGGCCACTGTTCACTCTTGAAGTAAACAGTGCCTAGATGAATTAATTCACCTGTGTATTAGACGCGGCCCCGTGAAAAGTAGATAAGAACTACTTCTCACGAACCAATATTTTTAACGGGTTTTATGTATATAATAATTCGTGTTTTATTGTTATTAAATATATTGTTCATGTGATTTATTTTAAAAATATCTATAGTCGTATATACAAATAGCCTCAATAGTTGTAAAAGCATGAGATTAGTAAACTAGCGTTAAGGAATTATGATTGAGTAATGTTAAATCAGTTTTATTTTTGAATAATTATTATTCTGTTCATGTGTGTGGGGTGGAGTCTAGGGTAGAGTAATAAGACGAGAAATATTATTATAGAAAAGAAAATTAACAAGGAATATGTGGTCATCATCATTACAAGAGCATAAGCCTTAATGTTTATGTCAGAATGTATTTTAACAAAGCGAAAACATTTTTATATACTTATAATTTTTTACTTTAGAGGGTAAAGTCAAATATATTTAATGAAGTGACTAATAACATAATATTTAAAGTCATTATGTGAGATAATTGGAGAGGTCTAGACTTCTTAAAATAATATTTCTAGTGGCTGCTAGGAGATAGGTGTTGAATTGAAAAATGATAATTTATTATTTTTATTACAGAAACAAGCATTACATGCGAAATTTGATGATAAAAAGAAGATAAAGCTAGGTGATTACTAAAAACAATGTGTTTTAGAATTGGGAGTGCTATAATGCCACATAAATGTTGAGGTCTTTATGCCAGAAAAGTTTATCAGAGATGAAGAGCTTGACCTCTCACATACACCACCTTTAATTTGTTCTCACAATAATTTTGCCCCTGTTCAAAGTTTCTTCATAAAAAAGTAGTCGGTAAGAATTCAATGCAAAAATTATTAGAGGTGCAAAATTGAAATATTGAATTTAAATTCCTTTATATGGTAGAACATAGAGAACATTATTTATATAGCATTTCAATGGACATCTTGCTGAGGACTAAATATATATTGAGAAAAATTGGAGTTGTTACCTGATAATTAGAGAAATTAAAAATCCTAAAATATACCTTAGTTTTAGAATTAGAGAAATTAAAAATCCTAAAATATATCTTAGTTTTAGAGATTTAGATTTAGGTAAGATATTATTTATGCTTAAAAAAATAACGTCATTTTTACAATATTTTTTTATGAAAAAATATTTTTAATATGTGTTTTCTTCTAAATTTATTTTTTTATTATCATTAATTATTATAACTATTTATATATATATATATATAATTTTGTGAAAAAGATTAATATCAGTTTTTAAAAATAGAAGATTCATCAATATCTTTTCTCTATTTTTTTTTATAGATACATAGTTCCTTTTAGAAAGAGATTTGCAACATTGTCATTGGTCGCATAAAATGAAAACTTGCCTTTCATAATGTTTAGACATCGGTTTTTATCAAATAAAAACTTGCCATCTAAGTGATTTCTAAAATGGATATTAGTCCATAAGAAAGTTAAATATAAAATTGAACTTTAGCTCATTTATTTTTTTTAATTTTCAAAATAAACTTGAAGATTATCATTTTCAATATGTCTTGATAGCATCACATTGATCCAATCTAAATTATTATAACTAATGTTTAAAATAGTACAAAAAATAATGAAATATTTTTTCTTGTATTATTTTTTATATATATGTCCTTTTTTATTATATTGTTTTTTTTCCTATGAGAAAGTTATTACTAAAAAATAATCATGATTATTACAAAATGTAAATCAAATACACAAATACTGATATACACTAAATTTAAAAACAAATGACAAGAATCATTATCCAGCTATTTGAAATTGACCTTCGACGTGGAAAAACACCATAAATTGCTGGAAAAATCTGATTGGACCACATGGAATGCGTTTGATACACACGTTGCCTAATTACTTTTCCAGGTTGGAGCGCACATGCTCATAATGCGCCTAATTAATAAACTTACCAGCTAAAGATATGAAAGATTGTGAAGATCAAATTGATTTATGGTATTTTTTTTTTTTTGTCTGGCTTCTTGCTTTTCTCCTTGCTTTCAAGGGGCAGCTAAGAGAAGGAATACAGGTCGTATGGGTGTTTGACTGAGAGGAGCTTTTGCGAGTTGGGGAGGAAGAGATTTCGGCTGTCATGAGTGAACAATGGTTGGTTGTGACGTGACCATCAGTTTTGACAATAATAATGGTGCCACAATTTATTGGTGGCTGGCGTGTTGTCACGAGTGGGAAGAACAATGGTGGTGGTTGATGTGATTGTTCGGTTTTACTGGTAGCTGTTGAAGATGGGTTTGCAGAGTGGGTTAAGGGTTATTTTTGTGAGGAAGGTAGTGCTTGGGAGAGGATAACACTGTTGTGGCTGGGATTGCCAGCGAATACGGTGGAAACAACATCTATTATTGATGATGGGAGGGGGAGAGGCGTTGCTGGACGGTGATTGAATCGGTGATGGTGGAGAACAAGGTGTTGTGTGTTGTGTATCTGGGTCTGCACAAGGGAGTAGGCTGGTGGCGGCTAGGGTCTGAAAATTTAGAAGTGATAGTGAGATTCATAATATTCTGTGATGGGTTATGAAGATGTTCTATTTGGGTTGAGGAGATGAAGCGTCTTGACTGGAGAGGACAAGAGAAAAGTGGCGCTTTTAGTGATAAATCAATTCAATTGGACTTAGTTAGATTGAAATCAATGAATCAATTTGGACTACATTGAATTAAGTTGATTGAATTGGACTGAATTGAAATGAATTTATATAAATAGTCAACTAGTCCTTGGAATATTTCTTCATTTTCATTTTAATTATTGGCTTTTAAATCATTTCAATTTTACTCAAATAGGGTTAAATCTTGATTTCTCTCTCTATTTAATTCTTCAATCAAATCTTTTCAATCTAGTCTCTATTTAATTTAGTTATTGTTTCTCAAATTCTTGCAATTTTTACTAAATTTGTTCTATTTTTTTTAATTTCAATTGTATCCTTAATTGAATCAAATTAAACCTTCAAATTTAATCACTTCACTTTTTTACATATTCATCATTTATTCTTAAAATTATACAATTTTCACTGATCAAACTTTTAATGTTGATTTTTTTTCTTCAATTGAATCCTTTATTAATTTCTAACTTAGTTATTTATTTCAAAATCATAATTGAACTTCAATTTTTTTTTTTTTACTCTTAGCTAAATTAAATCAAATTTAGTATTTTTTTTCTCATTTTTCTTTTCAATTCAAACCTCAATCATCGCCCAAAAATTCACCAACTTCATTTTATTTTTTTTTACTTATGATGCTTTATTATTAGCCCGGTTTCAACCCTGATTATATCTTTTTTATATATATTTTTTTTTTATTTGTATATTTTTAACGAGTTATTGTAATTATGCTTTATTATTAGCCCGGTTTCAACCCTAGCTATATCTTTTTCTTTTTTTATATTTTTTTATTTGTATATTTTTAATGAGTTACGTAATTTAAAAATAAAAATAAAAATGATTGAAATTAATTGAACTCATTGAAAATACATTTTTTTCTCTAATTTTTCAAGATATATAAAAAATAAAGGTTTAAAAAATTAGGTTCCAACAGTCTAATATAAACATAGTTTAGGAAATCGCAAGGAAAGTTAAATCAGTGTTAGTGATGGGATGATTCGAGCCCTCTCCAATCATAAAATCATCATTGTTATTGTATGGAGCATGGAATGAGAGATTGGTCACATTAGATGTAACATGGTGAGTGGCGCCACT